CCACTGTGCACCACTATTTGCTGTGACTTTTGTGTTTACCTGCTATAGTGCCCCATTTCCTATCACAATAAGATATTACCTCTCTATTCTTAGCATAAATTATATAGTCAGTACTCCCTAGCCTTTCACACTTTGCAGGGCATTTTGTCTCTCACAGGGCTTGAGATATTTAACTTAGCAATACTTTCACAGTTGTACCGAAATGTAAGATCATGTTTCTAAAAAAAGTTTTAGACAAAAATCATAGTATCTTGCTCACATTGAGAAATATCTGCAGTGTCCAGTATGATAGCCATTGGTCACATTTAGCCACTTAAGTTAATTAAAATTAAGTAAAGTAAAAATTCAGTTTCCTAATAATACCAGCCAAATTTCAAGTGCTCACTAGTCCCGCTGTCCGTTTTATTGGACAGTGTTAATGTAGAATGTTTCTATCATTGCGTAAAGTTCTTTTGGACAGCTCTGTTCTAGAATCTCTTAAACTCAGTTTCCATTCAGTCAGCCTGTTCTGTAGAGTCTACTGTCTTAACAGTTCTACCTCAAGTCCCATCTTTGTGGTCTTAATTCAAGCTTCCCTAATGTCATGACTAAGATATTTGTTCTCTTTTCCTTTTCAGGGATTATTCTTGATTTATTGGGGCATTCATGAGGACTGTCTGAGAATTGTAGAATGTAATTCTGGTTGTGCATTGGATTTGCTATTTTAGTGGCATTTCAAAACTGAACACTAACACTTAAAAAAATTTTTTTTTAGGTCCCCAAAGACAAATTTTAGACAAATCCTACTATCTTGGGCTTCTTAGGTATGTTTAATGAACATGTCTTTTCTGTGCAAGATCATGAAGTTTTAGTTGTGGTATTTATCAAGATAATTAGGTATCTGTTAATTTCTAAGAATTATTTTATATTCTAACATAACGTCTGGTAAATTTGGCTATATTGCAAAATACATGTGATAATATAATTAGGCTGAGATTTCTAATTTTATGTATTTGCATGTATGTGAGTTATTTATTTTATCTCAGTCCATTTGTGCTGCTATCAAAAAGTACCTGAGATTGGATAATCTATGAATAAATAGAAATTTATTTCTTACTGTCTGGCGTGGGAAGTCTACGATCAAAGTGCTAGGAGGTTCCGCGTCTGCGGAGGGCCTGTTCCTCATACATGGCCCCGTCTATGCATGCTCATGGTAGAAGAGTGGAGGGGCAAAAAAGGGCCTAGCCAGTTTTCTCCAGCTATTCTATTCTATTCTATTCTCAGCATCTTGCTCTGTTACCCAGGCTGGAGTATAGTTGCGTGATCATAGCTCCCTGCAACCTCGAACTCTTGGACTCAAGCGGGCCTCCTGCCTCAGCCTTGAGAGTAGCTGGGACTGTAGGTGCACGCCACCATTTTTTGTTTAGAGACAAGGTCTTACTATGTTGTCCATGCTGGTCTTGAACTCCTGGCCTCAACTAATCATCCCACCTTAGCCTCCGAAATTGTTAGGACTACAGGCATGAGTCACCATGCCTGACCTCTCCAGCCCTTTTATAAGGCACCAGTCCCATCCATGATGGCAGAGTTCTCATGGCCCAATTACCTGCTAAAGGCCCCACCTCTTAATACTGTTTCCTGGGGATTATGTTTCAACATGAATTTTGGAGAGGATACAAACATTCAAACCATAGCATATTTAAAGTTCATTTTTTTTTGTGGGGTACAGTGTACATTATTTGGGTCATGGGTACACCAAAAGCCCAGATTTTAACACTAT